GGCACTTGAGCATATCAATGAGCAAGAGGAAAGACAACAAAGAAGTAACAAGCAAACCACATCTTAGAGAAAGTTATAACTACACAAAGAGAAAGGGGGCGGGGCTAAATGCAAGATCAAGTCATCCAGAGTGTAGGGAAGGCAGCTTTAGTACTAAGTGGTGCTCAAAGTGGGCTCTACTTTTTTTTTTTTTAATTTTTGTTTTCTGAGACAGAGTCTCACTGTGTAGCCTCCTAAGGGATGGGATTATAGATGTGTACCCACACCCGGCTTAAAGTGGGCCTCTGAAAAGCTGGGATTTGAATAGGACCTAAAGCAGTCAGGGGAGTTATTCAGGGAAGCGCATTTTAGCAGGTGGAGCAAAAGCTAGAGATCACTAAGGTCTGGAGGCCAATGTGAATGGAGCAGAAAGAACAAGTAAGTAAAAGTAACTACTGAATTCAGAGGAAGGAGGCCTGGTAATGTAGGGATGCTGACTGTGAAATGAGAAGTCTCTGTAGAGTTCTGAGCAGAGACATGTCTTGGCGACTTATACTTCAACAACATCACTCTTGCTGCTATGCTGATAATATATGGGAGAAGCAGGGAGAGAAATTTAGAGGTTATTATAGAAATCCATGCAAGATACAATGGTGCTGAGGAGGAGGCAGTGGGACAGCTGGATTCCAGGGTGTGTGTGTTTAATTTTTTATTTGTGGTATTGAGATTGAACTCCAGGCCTTGTATATGCTAGGCAAGCATTACACTGAGCTACATCCCCAGCCCTCCACCACTTGAGCCACACCCCAGAGCTCAGTTCTAGATACATTTTAAAAGCTGATTTCCTGATATATTAAATGTGAGGTATGAGGGCAATAGAGAGGAGTTGTCCGACACCTTTGGCCTGAACAACTGAAAGGAGGGTTACTGACACAGTAGTAGGTAGAGTGACTTTTGGAGAGAAAATTGGAGGTTGTTTTGCATATGCTAAGTTTGAAATATTTATCTGACTATAAATAAAATGGACATTACAGCCAAATTTATAAGTAGTAAAGACAGAAAAATGTTTCACTTATTCAAAAATTTCCAAGTATGAGCTGGGTGTCGATGGCTCATGTTTATAATCCCAGCTACTTGGGAGGCTGAGATCTGGAGAATCAGGGTTCAAGGCCATCCCTGGCAAATAGTTTGCAAGATTCCCTCTCCAAAATAACCAGAGCAAAATGGACTGGAGGTGTGGCTCAAGTGGTAGAGCACTGCTTTGCAAGTGTGAAGCCCTGAGTTCAAACCCCAGTCCCACTCCCCACCCCCCAAAAAATTTTCAAATATGCAAAGTGATTATCAAGAAGGAAAATACAAACTAATTGGCAGTTTAAGTTTGGAGGTTATCAGTAGACCTCAATTACTGTTATTTAAAAAAAATATGAAAAACAAAGTTGGTTACATGTAAATGCATTAAAAACAGCCTTTTCAAAGAATGATCACTATACAAGACTATATTTCAGAAGCAAATGAATAAGTTTGGTACTCTATATGCACATAAATTATTCAAAATAAAATGCAGCTTTCAAGTTCATGAAACTTTGAAAAATATTTTAGGCTTATTGATTGAGGTGTTATGTGACAATATGTGAGGTTTACCAAAGTAATCATGAACTATGGAGGATATTATGGATTAAAGCTCATAAGAGAAAAAGAACCATTAGCTTTAATTACTGAAGAAGCTATTCTGAGTTCAGTCTAGCATGGCAGGAAATAGGCCAATAGGAAAAGTGGTGAACAAGAAGAAAGACTTATGCTGGAGGTTGCTCAGTGATTTGTTTGTATGACTGGTGGGGTTGGTATGAAGTGAATAAGCCATTGTTTTCCAAGGCCTTAGGGTATTTTCTGAGGCTGAGGCAAAACAAGCTCTAACTATTGAACAAATCCTTTCAAAATCTACATACTCCAATTTAGATCCAAATGCAACTTTTCTAATCTAAAATTTAGCCCTTTTACGTTTTTAAAACCTATAAGCAATTCTTAAACAATATTTATTTTTGGTAATTAATAAGCATGAACATACACCTTATGTTCTTATAGATTCACGATATATAACAACCACTAATAAGGATATGTACACAACAATACTCTCTCTCCTCTAAAATTACCAAAATAAACTGTAGCTATGCTCTCATAAGCACTCCACATAAGGAAATCCCCCTAATATTTAATTAATGTGCTCACTGAGGATCTAAGTCAAGAGTTTCTCAAACTCAACCCTACAGCCATTTCAGTTTGGATGTGTTGTAAGGATGCTGTGTTCTGCAGGATGTTGGGCAGTATTCCTACCCTCTGCTTACTAGATGCCAGTAGCAACTCCCACAAGCAGTGTCAAGCAAAAATGCCAGCTGGCAGGCATTACCAGGTGTGAGTGGTGTAGGATGCCAAAATGGTGTCTAGAATAAGAATCCTCAACTAAATTAAAATTACATAATGGCTCCTGAGCCTTGGCAACCTCACCACTCACAATTTGTAAGGGATTTGCAATGAAGTGTAACAATCCCTTGCCCAAAGCAGAAATCCCATCAGCACCCCTTCTCTTCCCTTCTCCATATCAGTCACCAACTGCTCAAGCATTTGGGAAATTACAAGTAAAGAGTAGGGAACGCTTATATTGGTTAATAAGTAAATATACATTTCATCCTAAAATGTAGTCTCATTTCAGAGATGTTGGTCTCTGCATGGCAAACATTTGAAGTCTTAAAGAAAGAATAGCAGAAGCAAAATGAGAGAAATGTGGCAAGAAATGGAATACATTTCCACAGTAATGTAGAAATGAAGGGGCTACAGTAGTGCAAAACAGAAAACTGAGTCACATGAGCACAATATATAGTTGGTCAAATTGTAATGAATGTGGAAAAACAAAGCAGAGGCGTGGGGGCTATGGTCTGAGTGTTTGTGCCCCCTCAAAATTCATACTGATATCCTCAATCTCAAAGTGACTGTATGGGGAGGGCGGGCAGCTCTCATGAATGAGATTAATACACTTTAACAGAGATCAGAGAAGGACAATTCACTCCTTCCACCATGTGAGGTTAGCATGAATCAGAAAGCAGTTGGTGGAGGGCTCAAGTGGTAGAGTGCCTGCCTAGCAAGTGTGAGGCCCTGAATTTAAACCCCAGTACTGCCAAAAGAAAAAATAAAGATATCAGTAAGCAGACCCTCACTGGACACTGAATCTGTCAACACCTTGAACTTGGACTCCCTAGCCTCCAGTATAAGCTACACAAATGATGCCATTTTGTTATCGAAGCCTGAACAGATCAAGACAGAGGAATTTAAAATAACAGGGTAAAGATGGAGTTAAAATTTTAGCCATGAGTACCAGAGAAGGACCAACCAATGAGTGAGAGTGTTTTTAAAAAGTATATACTTTGTGATTTATTCAGTATCTAAAAATATCCCCTCTAGTTACAAAAACTTGTATATAATTAATCCATATTTAAGATAGAAAATAAATAAGTATCTAAATAGCAATATGTTGACTTTCATATTAAACTACAAATCAGTAAAAGCAAGGCCAAGTGCTGTCTCCTTAAAGAATAGGATTATTTGGATCTTGATAGCTCATAAAGGTCACTACTTTGGTTCATCTCAATAAACTGACAGTGAAAAACAATGAAGTAATGCCACAAATCTTCCAAAAAAAAAAAAGCTTTTTAAATAATGAGATTCTTGGTTTTGGTCTGAGAAATTACAAAAATCAGAGTTGTATTAATTCTTTATAGTCTTACCTCATATTTTATCCTTTGTCAGTTGAGGTCTAATGAGCAAGATGGAATTTTCTATTTTGCAAACAAAATAGCTTAATCACAGTTAAAACTGTTTCTGCTTACATTCAAATTATTGTTTTGGGGGAAGTATGGTCAAAGAAAAGATTGTAAGTTCATAAATAGGCTACTCATTTAAATCACCAATTTCTTGATTTTGCTTGATAGCCGTACATATGGCACCATGAATATAGCCAGTAGCAACAATAAAAAGACAAATATCCCACAATTTAGAGATTCTATTTTAAACTTGCATTAATGGTTTCTTTCAGAAATCCTTAACAAAGAGAATTTTAAAGAACACCACCACTTCTTTTATAATGCATTCCCTGGTACACTTTTTTTCTTTGCAAGAATAAGAAAGAGACCAAAGTAAACACAAAATAAACAAAATAGAAACTGATTTTTTCCAAAGTATAGTAATTCTTAAATTGCTTAGTATTATTTCTTGGCTGAATGCCCAGCATTCATTATAAATGAAAATCTATTCAGAAGAAAATGTATATTAAACCATAGTGTAGCTTAGCTTTCATACTGCATTTCAAAAGGTCTTGCTCTCTACCATCAAAACAATCATTGTGTGCTTCTTAAAGCTAATACTCAGTTCCCTGGAAACTCCTTTGTAAAAGGAAATGGTCACTGAACAAAACATTCAAAGATTTCCACCATTATACTTATTTTTCTTTTCCCCTGTTAGCCACTTAAGCCTAAATGGAGGGGCTATTTACTTTTCATTTCTGTGGATGACATTGCTAGGAGGTGTTTTCAAGGCCCTATTCCTTAATATTTAATTATCTTCTTGCCAAGTATGTTACACATTGTTTCAGAATTATCTGTTTGGAAGCTTTTCTGACATCTATAGAGTCATTTCTTCCCAACAGTAGTTTCAAATACATTTACTTTACAGACAGTAGGGCCTGCACTAGGTTGAGCATAAGGCATGAAAGGATCATAGTCCCATTAGGGGACATATAGACAATTTCGGCAATGTGAAAAGAACCATAATGAAGAAATGTATACACTGTTTTAGGAGCAGAGCAAACACTGGCCTCTGCCTGAAAAAGTTTACAGACTGATGCTTCTCTGAAAAATAATTCACCCATTCCTCCCTTTTACAGCTTAAAACTCTCTTTATGATCATCATTCTTCTGGTTAGCCTTCAGTGTCAACAAATCACCTGACCTGGTCACAAACTCCCAATATGCATACCTTGTGGCTTTGGACTTGCAGCTGAGCGTTTCGCTGGTGTCTTCCCATTTATTCCCTGAGCCTCTTCAGATACATTCTGATCAACCAGTGTAACTGTGCTGATTTTTGAACAAGTGACCTTTGGATAGGTACTGCTGCCTGTGAGTTCAAAAAGAAAGGACAGGTAAATACAGAAGTATAGCACAACTCTGTCTTGAAAGTTAAATTTTCTTGATCTGATAAATCCAAAACAGTCATAGTTATAAGACTAAGCATAGAAATGCCTGCCCATGTATGCTATCCTTGACAAGGAACTTTCTTGCGAAAGGTCTCTTTCCATGTGTGTTAGAAAACTTTAATACACTGAGCTAAGACCACTGCACACAGACTTTTCCTTGTAGGGACACAGAAAGGCTGAATGCAGCTGCTACCAATTAGGTGATGGAGAGGACAGAAGGGCCCCAGCACTAATCTGTTAAAAGCGTTTCTTTCCAGTGTCCAGTCAGTCACCAGTCATCAAGCAACTCAAAAGAACAAAGCAAGAAAGCACCAATGCGACAGCTGACCTAAAGTCTCTGTAAGAATGGCTCAAACAGAAAGAACAAGCTCACATCTACCACCTCCTACCCACCTCTCACTCACACTCCAAGCAACCTCCACCACATGGATGCTGAGCAACCCATGTTGCCTACAGACAGAATGGCAAGACTATAGAACAACACTGTCACATTTGTTTAGAATGCAAACCCCCAAAGGTTCTTGAAACAACACTGAAAAACATTATCAGACATAGATGAAAAGGAAAAGACTAGGCTTTCTATCCAATTTCTGATTCAAAAAGCTGTATGTTGAATTTCAGATTCTAAAAAAGTCCTATGTCAGTGTCTTCTCTTCATATATTGATTTCCTTCTCTTGTGGGTGACATGTGATATTAACAAGAGAAACTCTGCATAAGAGAAAATAGAACTTTATTACAGTATATTACATGAATAAAAGGGTTTCATTGTGATATTTTCATACATGCGTACTTTGATCACATTCTCCCTGTTACTCTTTCATTGCCCTCCCTCCTTTTTTACAATTTTAGCATGTTTCATTATGCTATTTTCATGCATGCATATAATGTACTTCTAACATATTCACCCATTAACTAAGAGAAAATAAAGTTTCTAACAGGAACTCATTATAACTACATCAAAGTAGGTCATTTAAGAAACTATCATTTGATTAAGAAACAGTTTCATTTTGCATAATTCAAATATCTAAAAAGAATACTATTCAAAGTTTTTGAAAGCCTGAAAATCATTCAAAACAAGAAAAGGTAATCTTAAAAGCCCAATCAATGATCTACTGAGTCAAAAAAATTACTTCTGAACCAAAATGATTACATTGTTAATAATTTTAATAGTTAATAGCTTATGAAAACTACACTACTGCTTTGTTTTCTGTGTACTTCTTACAGTTAAATAGATTTTAGAAAATATTAACAGTTCCAAAATTGCCTGAGACGTTAGGAGACAGCCAGAGCTAAAATAGAAATTAACAGAGGTACTTCAGTTTGGTGTGGTGTACATCTGTGATCACAGCTACTTAGAAAGAGGAAGCAGGAGTTCAAGGCCACCCCAGGCAGTTTGAGGTCCTATCTCAAAGAAACAACTAAAAACAAAAGAGCTGGAGGTGTGGGGCTGAAAAGGGAGAATATTTGCCTAGTATGTGGAGGGGCCCTGAGTTCAATCCCCAGTGCCAACAAAAACAAAAACACAGCCACCCTTCTGCTAAAATAGTGTTATCTGTCATTTGGATTAAGCATTGTTTAGTGAAAGCAAGAGTTATGAAGACAGTTGGACAAAACATTATTATAAGTTCAAATATTTATTAAGTATGGGTTGTGTTCCTTCATAGAAAACTGTGAAGCAAAGCATGTCCCTAAAATATATGGCCCACCAAGCTTTTAGCCTTAGCCTTTTGGGGGCATTGGAATGTTTTTTCCATAGTGATCTCAAGAACAGATTAGTATCTATCCTAAAGGCCACCTGCTGGGGTTTAGTGAAGGATGGCTTTGGGGCAGAATCAGTGAAAACCCACAGCTCAAGTATAAACCAGAGGAAGAAACTCACAATTACAAAATGAGACCCTGCAAAGACTGCAGCTTTAGCCCTGATTGATAGGAACAGAGAGCAACAAAACTGTAAAAGGGAGCAGTCATGTTCTAAATGAAAAAAATTGTCTTTTAAAAAATAGATCACCACTACTACATATTAACATAGAAAACAAGTATGTCTTATAAAAATAGTAATTTGAAATTGACAACCAGGCATATAATTTCTGGATGGAAAGCTTTATCGGTATGATGGGTTTTACCAATGTCATATGTACAAGGACTAGCTCCACAGATGTGACAAAATACCTACAATAAGAGATTAACTACACACCCATTTCCTCATAAATTTATTGAAGTCACAATTACACATTTTTGCCAGTGGTAAAAAGGCCACAGCTAGAAATTTCATTTAAGACCACTGTTTAAAGTAAGTTTCCAAACTTCAGCCACAATTATGAAACACGTGACACAGAGAAGACTCACGTTTTTAAAAGGTCATTTAAAAGCAATGACAAGTACACAACAAGTGTATGTGATTCTACGTCTCCTCTCCCAAATTTATTATCTGGCCATGATAGGAAAAGCCTGCTGAACACTCACGTATGCCAACCATATCATGATACAGAAAGTTTGTCTAAAACAAGCACCATTTCATTAAACACTTCATCTGTTAGCATCTTGGATACCAGAAATAAAAATAAAACTTTTTGCTTGTTTATGACTGACTCAGCCTCCTCTCACTTGGAGACAGTCCTTATTTGGGTGCTGGTTGCATAACAGGGAATTGAAATCAAAATTGTAACCAGATGTTCTACCCATTCAAGAAGTTTTACATGAACTAGAGGGGCTCTTAGATTCTCAAATATCAAGGAGGACCAGTAGGAGAGACTTGCAATTAAATAATTATTTCAGGCACAGATAGAAATAATTATAGTATGTCAGTTGGCATGGGGGGATGGGAGTCCCATAAAATTCTATCTCCTTATGCAGACTGGTAATCCTTTTACCCATTGGCCCTAACCACTGTGCACTGTCTGTGGATTCTCACCTATGCTTACTGGCTATACCCTCTGCAGGAATGTCAAGACATATGCTAACCTCACAGTTTCAATCAAATCTCATCTCTGACTACATGAACAGTACAATATCTGACATCTAATAGAAGCAAGGTACATTTATCAAAACATTGGTATAATACTACATTACAGCTTTTATTCAGATTTCACTAATTTTCCATAAACACATCTGTCTTTCTGCTCCAAGACCCAATCCAGATATCACCTATTTTATCACTGATTCCTTGACATGGTCCAATTTGTGAGAGTTACTTAGACTCCATTTGTGTTGCACGACTTTGTCACTTGCAAAGAATATTGTAGCATATGCCTCAAGTTGCCTTTCCCTGATTTTTTGTTGTTGTTGCAGTACTGGAGCTTGAACTCAGGGCCCCATGCTTGTTAGGCAGGCAATCTACTCCTTGAGCTACTCCACCAGTACCTCTGATGTGCTTTCTTTTTTTTCTTTTTTTGTTGTGCTGGGGTTTGAACTCAGGATCTACAACTTGAGCCACTCCACCGGCCCTTTTTGTGAAGGGTTTTTTTGAGATAGGGTCTCACAAGCTATTGTCCAGGCTGGCTTCAAATTGTAATCCCCCTCATCTCTGCCTCCTGAGTAGGTAGGATTACAGGTATGAGCCCCCAGTGCCCAGCTTCTGATGTACTTTCATGCTTAGACTGGATTACGGTTTTGGGGGAAGACTATCACAAAGTAATGTGCCTATCTGGTATAACTGCACGATACCACTGTGATTAACATGTGATGCTAACCTTGGTCGCTTGGAAAGGTGGTGCTGTTGGCCTCATGTTTCTAGTGTAAGTCATTTTTCAACAGTCTTTTCCTATAATCCCTTCAAAAATGTCCTCATTTGGCCGGGTGCTGGTGTCTCACGCCTATAATTCTAGCTACACAGGAAGCCAAAATCAAGGAGGATGGCTGTTCAAAGCCAGACCCGGAAAAATAGTCGAGACCCTATCTTGAAAAAACCCATCATAAAAAAGGACTGGTAGAGTGGCTCAAGGTGTAGGCCCTGAGTTCAAACCCCAGTAGCATTTAAAAAAAAAAAATTCTCATTTGTCCCACAGATTGTGGATGAGGGTTATACCTCTCGCGCTCAGTTTAAGAAATCAACTGAATTAAAAATAATATAGGCAATATAGTTATAAAGGTCCTGGTTTACAGCTCCGTTACTAAGGGGATACACCCACACACAGCCACAGCCGGAAAATGTATTTCAGAGCACTGTATCAAACAGCTCCCCAAACTTCTAGAGCTGAGTAATGTTCAAGAAAAATAGTAAATCACAAAGGATTTGGGAAAAGAAAATGTGATGGAGAGTTTACGAAAGCTCCTTAGCTCTAACAACCCTGTGTTATTAATGTGTATACACACAGGTCGTCGGTCGGTTCAGTATTACAGAAGACATGCAGCAGACTGGGAAGACCTCCACGGCATTATCGGGTCCAACACAAAACTGTACAACCCCACGTACAGTATAAGCATCCCTTGCCTAAAATGCTTGGGAGCAGAAGTCTTTCAGATTTTGGAGTTATGTGGGTTTTGGAATACTTGCATAGACTCTAGAGCTGAGCATAATGAATGTGAAAATCTAAAATGTGCAATATTCCAGAATTTTTTTTTTGAAATGTTATCTCTTGCTTTATTGAATCCTCAACATTTCCAAGAAGCTTCATACTTTAGAACATCTCAGATTGCAGATTTTCAGATTAGGGATGCTTGACTTACGAACCTATTAAAAGTGATGGAAAGTAACACAAGCTTAACTTTGGGAATTGGGCATATGAGTGAGGTGGGAGAATGAGTAAGAACTGTCATGTTTTGCTGTATGTATAGCTGTACCATTTAAATCTTTTACAAAAAAATACATTTATAACTTACCTAAAATATATGAAAGTCATCAAGTATACATATTACAGAGATTTAAAAAAAACCAAAAACATATATCGCCCCACAGGGCACAATTGCTCATGCCCTGCTATT